CACCCTTAATTTTTTTTATTATATTGTTTAATTTAATTTAATTTAGTAATGCGGATCCAATGGAAAACTAGTTGGAAAGGGGTAAAGGCAGTTTGTATCCGCCCCTAATATTGAGCAGAAAACTGCTAATTAACAGTCCACTGTATTTTTGGTTTGAATAAAGTAGTGTCTTTTGCTGTGCTCACTTTGAAGTGACACTCACCTACTGAATTTCTCATTGAAGGACAGCCTTTTGCTTTTCGTAATTTTTACTGATTCTGGTCTACAGACTACATCTTTGGTAATTTTCTTCAACAAGTAACTTTTCAAGCACCCCAGCATCTCTATCTCTATTACTCTATATATGCATTAATTATTTTGTATAAAAGATTAGACAAGAGTTACGTGTACAAAATTTTTATTAAGTGGTAACTATGAAATTTAAATCCGTTGTTGTTGATTTAAAAATTCATGTTAGATAAATTGAGAGCTTCGTTTGATTAAGTTAAATGAGTCCAATTCGGCACCCTGACCCAATACCCCTTATATGGATGTCGGAGTCGAATTATGAGAGACATTATATGAAAGAATCATTATAACAAGACAAAGAAAGTATTCCCCTTGACGCTGCACTGTCCAAACAATCAATTAGGAAGATGACATGATATTTTAGGATACAAGACCTAAGGCCTAAGCATCTCATAATCTTGTCGCAGCCAAACCCACCAATCAGTCAATTTCTTTCAAAATGACAATGGCACGCGCTCTTAAATACGAACACTATAACTTGATATGATCAAAAACGATAAGCTTGAGTCAATCAATTTATAAAACGGGATGAATGGTGAGTGAGATCCGAACAAGTTTCACAAGCCCCTATCAGGTTACACACATGAGGGGGTGGGGGCCACATTTTTTCTAATACATGGGGTGGGACTCACCGCTACAGTGAGGGACCTGTGAAAAAACTACCTTGTATGCAGGGCAAAAGTCATATACAATTACCAAATTTCAGCAACATAACACCTTTGTTTAGTTCAAATCCATAGAAATTGATCAAAAAGTGCCACTTCATTTTTTGTCATCAATTAAACACACTTATTCTTCTTGTTAACTATTTTATTTACAAAATTAAATCATTATTTACAAGTAGTATGTATTCATTTCAAACTTGTTTGACAATATATATATATATATATTATTCGCTCCGTAGTAATCAGTGTGCCCTAAAATAACGGAAATCTACAGCCTCCTTAATCTCAAGATTAATATGTTAATCTCGAGAATAGAGGGGCTGTTGATTTCCGTTATTTTAGGGCACACTGTTTTCTAAAAGATAATTACTACGGAGCGAATAAAGAAGACAACACGTGAGAAACAAAGAATATTTTTTCAATATGTGAGAATTTGGCTGATAACAAACTTGTCATAATTGAATATTGAAACTCTGCACAATTTCATTGGGTCAATGAATTTAGACTTATACATCAATTAAACACTTATTCATGATTGCACTTATGTTTCAAACTTTTTATTCGTCAATTATTATCATCATTCAATTAATGAGTACATCTTGTTCTTGATTCCGATTTCTATCCAAAAAAAAAAAAGTACAAAATATTTACACATTACCTGCAAACTGCACCTTCATTAGAAGAAAGAATAATGTTATTTATTAATCATCTGGATGACATCTATTGTGATAGCGAGATCGCTGTCGCATTATCTAATGAATTAAAATACATCCTAATGTTATGGGAGAATATAACAGTTATCCCATAGCTAAGGCTGAAAATGTGCAACTTATTAAACGGTTTAAATGACATGCAATGACATATATGCCCCTCTAACCTAGGAAATATCGATGAGGTGCAGAAAAATTCAACCGGGATGGACGAAATAATAATCTGAATATGTAGGCCGCTAATCGAAACTTCAAAACTGCTGTTTCATTTTCCTTGTTTACTTCCCATACTACAAGTTTTGCATACAACTCACACAAATTTTATCATGAAGGCGTCGGGACTTTTTCTTGAATGAGCATTATTCCATTACTAGAAGATTACAAGGAAAAATGAATAACATGATAGTGACTCAATACCAGATGGAGTTCAAATCATCTTGTCCACCTCCAAAAGACAATAAGTACGATGATAGTGAGAACCATGCCCGCATATTTAATCCATCGGTCAACACGATTTCGCCTCTCAATGAGCCGCATTACAGAGTTTGATAGCCCCAAAGTGTTAAGGACATCCAGTGCTTTTCGTTGAGCTCTCTGCACCGGAGGCAAACTCAGCAAGTCATTAGATTGAATAAGCCTACGTTTGGCTCATGTCTGTAAACTGTTTATAAGCACTCAAATCACTTTTTATTCACACGTTTTGAGGGATCCACAAGTATTATCCACTTCTTTACCACTCATTTCTATCTCTTTATAATTTAACCGTTTATAAAAACTTCCAAACAAGTTTTAATTCTTGTTTTACAAAACTACCCACATAAGGGAGGTTTCATTTATCAGAACATGCTATAAAGATTTTCTAAAATGAAACAAGCAAGAATGCAATGTGCTAATTTGTACATACCGATCAGTACTTAAAGAAACTAGTTATTACAAACACTTGTTGCTAAACCTGCTAAAGAAACTTTCATAAAAGATACAGCTATCAGTACACTAGTCACACAGAAATTAGAGTTTTGTATGTCAATAAATTCATTTTTTGTATATACCCTCCATCAGTCCATCCCAAAAAGATCACATTGTTTGATTATCTACAGAGATTTGAAAAATGTACACTTAACAATTTGCATCATTCTTCCAGAAAGAACCCTACAGCCTCTGTTGCCACTGATTAAGCTTTAGAGAGGAGAAGTGTAACATGGCATAAAATATAGAAACACAAACATTCTTCCGGGATAGAGGAAGTATTGCCTATCAAGTTAGTACGGCCACTAACCAATTCCAATGGATTTTTCCAGCAGTGTTTGCCCTACCTCGTGGATACCTAATATTCAACTCCTTTTATCATATTACATATCATAGTGATCAATAATTCACAAGCATACAGGGGAACTCTCCTTTTAACACATACAAGAAAGTTTTTCAATCATATCGATATAATCATTCGCATAGAGTTCTTAAAATGTATATATTCAAATATTATAATTTACTTTAAGTTGTCCACTGATCTTCAACAAAGTTGCATAATTCTTAGACTGTAAATGTCATGCTTAAAAAGGTGCGTGCCAGTGGCATCTAACAATCAAATCCAAAGACTTCCAATTATGCATGTGTTTTGATACTATATTTTGTGAAAACCTATATACACAAGTATTTATGCCTGCACGCAATGATGCATCTGTATGTTTCCATGTGGTAGGTGCTTTAGAAGAATACCTTTAAGTGATCCCTTTGCTCACTATACTTTGAAAGAATGGCCACACCAGTCGCATAAGTTTCTTCTAGCATTCTGGACGAGCTATGAACTGACTGCATAGCTTGGGCTTCCTCATCAAATATTCTCAAAACATGAGAGGATTCCCCATTCTAGAACATAAAAGTAAAATCCTTAAACAGACAAGTTGTGTAATCTAAGAGGAGCAACACGGACAATTCAGCAATTCGGACAGAAAGAATTCATACAGCTCTTCCAAGTAGTTCTGCCCTCTCTTGGGCTTCTTGTATCCGCTTTTGATGCCTCAAAACATATTTATCCAGACTAGCTTTCAGTGAGTCGGCTTCCTCAGCCACTTGTTCCACTTTTCTGCACGACAAAAAGAAGAATTATGCATTAAATAACAAGCTCCTTCACAAAATGGAGGACAAACAGCATAACTGAGGCAGGAACGTAACAATCTCCATCAATCACTGTCTAATGTTAATCTTCCTTGTTAAACAGAAAGGAAATTTTTCCCATCTTGAAAAATATGTTCACCAGAAATTCATAATATTGAATATGACATGAAAGTAGCACTATCAAGTGGGGACATGTTTCCTTAGATCTCTCTCTATATATATCAATTTCACCACTGAAAAACTTCATATCGTTACGATATGAATGTGAAGAAGCTAATAGTTGTTAACGTGGAAACATGCCACCTTACAAACAATTCTCTTTATGACGAGGTAAGCACTCACCAACAAACCAAGTGGGTGTGATTGTGTTTTTCTGAATGTTCAGTATTCAATACTCGTGAATCATATTTATTGAGTCATGCCCGCATAGTAATTCTTTTCTGCTTCCACCCCCATGTATCCAGGCAAAGGCATTGCACAAAGAAAATGACAAATAACTGCCAGTCTTGCATGGCATTTGCAAGCACATAATGGCTTGGATATTTCCTATGGAAGATCATCCTTCTTTCAATATGCAAATGCATTAAAATTTACAAATTCATATCATATATTATATTATACAACCTACAAAATTGAAGTCATCCTAAATTGAATTTGTGCAAAGTTGTTTTAATCCACTTTTCATTCTTTCCAACTACCTTGAAAATATCAGCAGCAAACAAAGTCAATTTTCAAAATTTTCAAACAGGCTCATCTTATTTATAAAACATAAACTAAGTGTATTTTCAACTTAAAAAAAAAAGTCTTCAATTTAACAAGTGTAACATTCTGGATCACTTGATTCTCAAACCCTTTCCCAAAAATCTGAAACCATAATCAACTTAAAATTCATACTTACCAATGCAATCAAAAAAATTGGTATAGAGTCATATAAGTAGAGTACATACAATTAAACATCTTGATGGTATCATGGCAAACAAAGACAATCCTCATAGTTTCCAATTATACAACATATTTTCAGCTTGGTTCTTTAACACTTTTCCCAAGAATTCAAAACCATAATCAAACAAATAAAATAAACAGTCACAGGAAAAAATGAAATTCCAATCAATCATCACCTTCAGACTTATGGATGCAATAAAAATTCCAATCAAGTCATACAACCAGAGTACATACATATAAAAGATACATATTGCAGAGATCACGTTAGGTTAGCAATCACATTATTTTTATCACACAACCTACGTACATTTTCAGTTGAACAACATAATTTCGATTCAATCCCTTTAACATTCTAGATTACGCGTTGCTTTAAAAGCTTTCCCAACATTTTGAAACCCTAAGCAATCAAATAAAAAAAAAAAGAGTCACAGAAACAACAGAATTTCCAAGAAAAAAAATCAAATTTAGAGCTCATACTCATCAACGCAGTCAGAAATTCCAATCGAGTCATACAAGCAGAGCACAAAATATAAAAATATACGTACGAATGACAAAAACACCTTTTCCAGAGATCTCGTTGGGATTTGGCGGCGATTGAACGCCATAGGCGATCCATGTCAGAGCAGAGGGACTGGATCTGACTAATGTCTCGTCTAATTGAAGTGGAATGATCATTTGAAGCACCCGAAACGAAGCCGTCGGATGATGAAATTGAAGAAGAGGAAGAAGATGACGTGTATTCGAGACGCTCGAGTCTCTCCAATGCATCTCTGGTCTTCAGCAACAGTCTCTTCGAGCTGGAATACAGTTCGGATACGGTTCCGCCC